ATCTGGTAATTCATTTGGGGTCCCATTCTTATTAAGTACGAAGAATATTTGGACCAAATGCTTTTCAGACAGGGCTTGCAGGAGTCTGCTGCTTCCAAACCAACTGTGACCTATACACTTTGCATTAAGTTTAACCACTCATGTATGCATCCATCATCCATTTGAATCCACTTCCTTCACGCATCTTGTTCCATCATATTCCATGACAAAGACTTGTTGAGCACAAACAGGTCTCACCCATGTGCCTGAGCAAGGGACTAACATAAGAGGGGTGAGGGTGAGGGTGAGGAGAGGAACGCAACTAGGTTACAGAGAATACTAGGGTGTCGGCCACTTGCAAGCCCCAGAGCCAGTGAAGGCTTGGCATTGGTTCTCGAAGGGAATGGCGATATCCACAATCACAATTTTCTTGGCCTGCTCATGGGTGATGATGATGACAGGGTGCATCTGGCTCTCACAGCCCAGGATGGTGTGGTTCACAGAGATCTCCCCCAGTGCAGCCAGGATGGCCTTCACCAGGCACTCATGGACAGCATTGTGGCAGAGCTGCTAGGCTCTGGCATGTGGCCTGCAGCTGCACAGCACATGGGGGAGGGTCTCTGCTGCATAGCCGTACCGCTAGCACCTCTTGTCCTGGTGGCCAAAGCGGACAACCCCGTTTGCTACATATCAAGCTTAGGCAAGACTAGCCAAGTTCCTCATAGCTGTAAACAATGGCTCCCTGAGTCATTTGATCCAAGTGGATTAGAATCAAAGTACTGAAAATATGGGGAAGTGATTCAGCATAATGCAGTGATAATGAAAATAAATGAGACCCAAGACAGGACTGACTTGCTGGGGGACAAAAGGGTGGAAGATGTCGATGAGAAGTGGCTACAAAACAATCCCTGGAGTTCTGCAGCAGAATTCGTAGAATCCTGCAATACATGGTACAGGCTTCTAGGAATTCTGCTGCAGAACTCCAGGTATTCATGGATTCATAGACTGCTGGGGGCTAGCAGGGACCTTGCAGATCTTTGGGTCCAGCCCCCGCCCCGCTCTAGGCAGGAAGACAACTGGGGTTAGGGGACCCCAGCGAGGTGACTGTCTAGTCTACTCTTGAAAGCCACCAGAGTAGGTGACTGCACCACCTCTGGAGGGAGTTTATTCCATAGTGTGGACACCCTGACTGTGAAGTTTTTCCTGGAATTAAGCCTGAAGTAGCCTTCCAGGAATTTGTATCCATTGGTCCTGGTCTTCCCCAGGGGTGCCCTAATGAACAGTTGTTTACCAAGCTCCTGATGTACTCCTCTGATATAGCAGTAAGCTGATATCAAGTCCCCTCTCAACCTTCTCTTCTTTAGGCTAAAGAGGCCCAGGTCCCTCAGCCTTTCCTCGTATGGCTTGCCTTGCAAGTCCCTGATCTTTTCTGGACCCTCTCAAGTTTTTCCACTTCCTTATTGAAGTGCGGTGCCCAGAACTGGACACAGACTTCCAACTGTGTCCAGTGCTGGACACAGTACTCCAGTGCTGAGTACAGCGGGAATATCACTTCCTTAGTTTTACATGAGGTCCATAAGGTGATGCATGCCAGCATGCTGTTTGCCCTGCTGACCACTGCCTCACACTGACGGCTTTTATTCATACTATGGTCAATCATTACCCCTCAGTCCGTTTCGGCCATGGTGCAAGTCAAGCTGTCACCACCGAGCCTGTATGTATGTTGAGGGTTGTTTGCCCCCAGATGGAGCACTTTATACTTGGAAGTGTTAAACTTCATCTGGTTCCGTTCTGCCCAACTCTCGAGCCTGTCCAGGTCTGCCTGTATCTGCAACCTATCTTCTGAGGTGACCACACTGCCCCAGAACTTGGTGTCATCCGCAGACTTGGCCAGAGAGCTTTTCACTCCCCCATCCAAATCATTGATAAAGATGTTGAAAAACACCAGTCCAACCACAGACCCCTGAGGGACACAACTGGCCACTTATCACCAAGACGACATGGATCCGTTCATGAGAACTCTCTGGGTCCTACTCTGTCCATT